TCTTGTTAGCTCACGTATTTTACCTAGGGCCGATCTCTTTTCTTAGCACCGCATGACTGTTAGTTCGTTGCACCTAAGCATGCTTACCATCGATGTGTAAGACACAGATCATCTTTGAGAGCCCACATCAGTCGCCAATCTATAATTCAAACATTCTCAGAACAGTTGTTAAGTTATCAGAAATCCACGATTTGGTTTCCACGGATCCGCCATTGATCACACCACTCCACTCGGCAGGTTCTGTGCCGGCTCCTCTGCGGTCACCAACACCGCACACTACCTGACCTGTCGTGTGACCCTGACCTCTCCACCCGCCCCAAAAGGTCACCAGCACGACGTGTTCCACGCCCCCTCGGTGGTTACCGTCGGAGGGGGTCATTCGGCGCGCTCCGATAACTTCGAGGGTCTCATCTCGGGCGTGGTGGTCAACGGCCACCGGGTGTTGGAGAAGGCGGCAGAGAACAGCCGCGACGTCCGACTGGCCGGCGAGCTTAGTATCCGCGCGCTACCCTCGCGCATCAAGGACGCCTACTTCCGGCACAGCGAGATGCAGGCCGTGAGTTCTAGTAACGGTCGAATGGGCGAGTGGGGTGTTCTGTCTGCTGGGAAGTTGATGTATTAGATAATGGTGGGGGGTCGCGCAAGCCGCATACAGCAGAGCGCGCACAGTCGCACAGAGGCTTTGACATCACAGAATGTGTTCTCTTCTCACCGGTATTCAGTGTGTTGAATTACATGCGTTGTTGGATGAACTCGTGATCTTGCCCAAACGATAGCACCACCAATATCTTGCGAGACCATTCACAAAAAAAGTATTTTGCAGACAACAATGTGCATCTTTGTAGGGAGCGTTACTGGGTCAATTTTGTACCCATGGCTGGGCGATCAGATAATCCCAACTAGAATTCTTAAATGCGAATATGCTAGTCGTTTTGGTCCTTTATCTAGTCGGAGCAAAGACTTGCGCTACTCGGTGGGTCGATAACCGTCTCCCGCTGCCGTTATCAGGTGGCTGGCGCGGCGGGCCCGTCTCCGGGTATCAACGACGACCTCATCTACTCCGGAGCCGGCTCCGGCTGCGGCGAGACAGACGACCAGGAGTGCTCGGCCGTCTACAAGTCCGACATGGACACAAGTCAGTGCATACAACATCTACAACGTCATCAAGCGTACAAAGATGGTGGCAGAACTTAGAGATGTCCAGACGATCTGGTGATAGTTTGTGCATTGTGCAATGTGCATTGCCAAGTGCTCCATTGATAGCCTCCTAACGGTCCAAATTCGGCAGGACATCTCCATCAGGGCTACAGCAGTCTCAACCCCGAACACCATTTCACTATTGATTCACCCATAGGCACTACATATCATACCAAATCCACCATTTCGAAACCCAGCAATCCTCAATTGTTCTTGCGGTCATGCGGTCACCACAGTCCATTCAATACATTACCGTCTACGTAGGTGGCCTAAGAGTATCTTTAACCCTCGCCCGCACATGCCATTTTCCCATCCTAGAACGCACATGGGGGGGGGGTGGTTGCCCCCCCCCCCCCGCGCCATTTCGTTCCTGTTGGAGATAGAGCTTAGCAGTAAAGACCAAAAAGATTCTTTGGGAAGAGACGAATCCAATGATACCCAGTTTTACCTTCTCAGGTCAGTCATTGACCTTCCAGGTCAGGTCAAACTAAAAAATGTTGCTGTTTTAGGTCACCGTTGGATATCATGTGTGCTGCTTATCAAATACCGATGACGATGCTGTTTTCTGGTGCCAAGCCAGCTAGAACCTCTTTGTCACACTACCCGACCAGAATTTTGCTGCTGAGGTCATTTCAGGTCAAGTTAGGTCAAGGTCAATTATATGTGTTTGTATGTCTGTGTGTGTCTGTGTGTATACTGATGTGTGCACCGATTGTTTTTGGGTCCATATTACATGAAATCATGATCTGAGAAGCTTTTACCAAAAATGCAGTAAAAAAAACTTCAAAAAAAGTAAATTCAGCTTGCCTAAAACGCAATTATCTTAGGTGACCTAGGTTGACCTTGACCTTGACCTTGACCCCTGTACATCGTCGAACAACATGTTCCATGATAGGTAGGAGGTAAGACTGGCAAAAAAGGCCGAAATCAGGGTGTCAAAAGCTCATAAGGCCCATGGCAAACGCAAGATGTTGAGAATTGGCCATTTGGGTCATGACATGACCTGAAAAACAAGGTCATATCTCCGAAACCAAAAATCACAGAAACTTGAAATTTTCAGTGAACATCAAGAAAGGATAGAGGAGCAGCTATACGAAAAATCAGCCTTCTAGCTCTAAAAATGTTGAGTGCAGAGCAGAAAGACTACCTGGGGGGGGTGGCAACCACCCCCAGGAAGCCAAGACTACCTGGGGGTAACCCTCGCCCCCCCATGTGCGGGCGAGGGTTAACGGAAACACAATGTTTCCGTTCGTTAAGTTTCTGAGTACGGGTGGGTGACACCGTCCCTGCTCTGTAGCACCTGGTTTACAGTCAGACAGAGAGCTCTCAAGACCTTTGCCATTTTGTATAACGATGTTAGCGCGGCAGCCGTCCGCCAATTTACAGTTCCGAGCTGAGTTAGTGCAGCTGCTCCGAGCTCCATGTGCTCGTAACTCGTCACAACTTAGATGTCACTGACATGAAATACCCCTGCCAGCCAGCCAAGAGGAACACTGAACACGTCAAAAACCTAACGTGTAACTTCTGTTGACGAAAACCGAGGCCTGTTTTGGCTGCCAGAAAATGGACGAGCACTTCTTTAAAAAAAAAAGGAAGTTTGTGAGATAGCCAGTCAGCAGTAATCAGAATTCACGACGATTCCTTCCACACGTTTGCACCATATCACTAGCACAAAAACGGCCGTTACAGCGCAGGCAACTCACCTATTTAGGACAGTATACACAAAGCCCAATGCTGTTTTAATATTATTTCCATTCTATCCACCCCACTTACTTATCCCTCTGGACCGGGCTAGGAAAATGCCACCACTTCCCCGCGCGATGGAATCTGTACCCGCGATAACGAAATATGTACCCAGGATCTGTCTAAAACCACGATGTCGTGTGCCCCAGATGATGACCTGGTGACGCCGGTGTACATTCGGCCGCCGACGCGGGACCGGCCGCCGCCGCCGGCCAAGCCGTGTGATGACGAGGACTGTCTGAACGGCTCAGGACACCCGCCGGACGAAATGGACGGGGGCAGAGGGCGCGTGCGCGGCGGCCACGGCCAGTGGAGAGGTGTGTTCCCATCCACCAGCCGCCGCGGGGTTGGGATCGTAGAGATCAATACCCAAGGGGATTACGTGCTGGTGTGCTGCAATGTGTCCTTTGGGTGCACCTTATCAGGGTGTTATAGTTGTCAATTTTGTATCCATCATAACGTAAATGTTAACGGTAGAAATCTAGGCCGATCTTCCAGCCACAGTTCAGGAGTGAGTAGCTGGCAACTTTTTGCGGCACAGCGTAATTTACGGCGCAGGATACTAGTGCCACCTGTCGGCCAGACCTAATAGTTTGGTAGGGTCAGGGTGCGCTACAGGTCTCCACTCTCCACCGATTCCATGTCTCGGAATCAGAAGGCGGAAATAAGTAAGAGTGATTCTAAACTAGACTTCTTGTTTTCAGTGCCAACATCGAGGAAGCCAATCAACAGCGCTGCGACTACTTCTACCACTTCTACTACGACCACTACCACTACAACTACCAGAACCACGACCACACTTCGGTCACAGTGGAGGGTGACGACGCCCCGCACCGGGCCGACCTGGCGGCACACGACGCCACGGGCCACACCCTCGTGGCGAGTGTACGGAGCCACCACCCCCGGCAGCCGTCTGCCGGCCAACGGGGTCGAGTGGCCTCCGCCGCCGCCGCCGCCGCCGTCAGCACGCACTCCCGCGACAGCACCGAACCGGCCTGCCGAGGAACCGGGCGAATACGTGGCCATGGTGATCGGAATCATCGCCGGCGCGCTCATCGTCGTCATCATCTGCATCCTGATCGTGCTGAAGGTGCAGGGCCGCAACGAGCGTCGCTTCAAGGCGGACGAGAGCAAGGCGTACCTGGCGGGCGGCGGTCGGGCCGGCTCGCCGCAGCCGCCGCTGCTGGCCGGCGGTGGGCAGACCGAACTGAGCGGCGCGCCCGGCGCGCTGCTGCCCCGGCCACCGCGGCCCAAGAAGACCAAGGATGTCAAAGAGTGGTACGTGTAGTGAGAGAGACAGACACTGGACCAGTCGGTAGTGATATTGCTCGTTGTTGGGCGCGGTGGCGCGGCGGTAGGCAGGCCTCCCTCAGTCTCGATGTACCCAGCTCTTGTTCCGTGCCGCCGCCGCCGCAGCCCGATTCTCGCTTTTATAAGATGATTTCATATGTGATGTTCGCTTTAGCTGTTGGGTCGCGCCTCGCCGTCACGCGGCGGCCAACCAATCAAAGCGCGCGGTGCGACTGTGCGAGTTGTCGATGGGTGCGCGACCGGCGGACAATGGGCGCCGACCCGCGCCGCGCCGGGCGCCGACCACCGCCGGGCGTTCGAGGGCGCCCGGCCACTCCAGGGTCTCTCCAGGGCGCCGTTCCGTTTGTTGATGCCATATTGTTGGGCCACTCGTCCCGTTCGGTCCACAGTGAAGCAGTTGTGACGTTCATGTTGTGAGAGGCTGCTTCCTCCGAGTCTATAGTATATATCCGTGCTTGGGAATACATCATTGCCGAGTGGGTCGGTGGCCGCTCGGCACCGTATAATACACTCCATACCGGTGACGGTGGCGCATTTCGGCCCGGCTACACCACATACCTCGCGCCAGGAGCGAGTCTCACCCAGCTTTGCTATGGTCTTCTATCTTAATTGCGCCAATAGGCAATCGAGCCAGGAGGCCGCAAATGGACTTATGTTGTCGCTAGTGTTATAAAGTTATTTGTTATACCGTTATAAAGAACATGTGTAAAAAGTATTCATAACTAGGTGTTCATGATTACAAATAGGCATTAGGCATGTATAACAATCCAGTATTATTCATGGCCCAAACATTGAAGTCAACATGTTCAGGACTCATACACAACGAAAGCTCTTAGGCATTAGGATGAAAACAAGCGGCTTGCACATATTACAACAACGTCTGTACAGGGACTAGAACAGCATTCAAAACACCTGCGATTGGACAGATGGCGAACAGAAAGTACCGATTCATTGATATAGAAACTTAAACCTTCAATTCTCGGCCCTGACTGATGAACATATCTGACCCCGCAATCACAATTTATTTGTGTGCAATGAGAGCAAAGTGTAAAGATATAAGGCATCCGGGTGTCTTCACACGCTAGGCGCTGAGCAGCAGCCTGCTCAAACCGTGACTCAGAATGGTGCATGACTTCCCTTCCGCTTGCCTTCTATAATAACCGCTGTGCGCTGTGATCACTGGTCAGCGCTCAAGGCGGTCCGCGCCGAGTCGCATGAACCGCCTCAAGGCGACTCGAGCACCGTCGAGACTGGGCGATCTCCCTTTATAGGCGATTAGTACTGTCGGGACTGGGAGATCTCCCGGGACAGCCAGTCGAGGGCTTCGTACAGCCCCTCGCCCTGCGTGGCCGACGTGGCCTGCACGTGCCACGGGCGGCCGGTCAGTTTGAACATGCCCAGTCGTTCGGTGACCTCGCTCGGTGTCATCACCCTCGGCATGTCCTGCTTGTTGGCCATGATCACCACCGGGATGTGCTGAAACAAAATAGGAATCGTCAGCGGCACACCGTAACGGCAAGGCGCTCACTGTGTCTGCATAATGTAAAAAGAATGTCATACAGGAAAGGGCTGCCTAGTGCGTACGTGCCTATAATATGCAGCAAGTTACCACATTCCCAACGCGACATAAGAATGCCCACATAAGCGTTTCCCAAAATCCGCCAGCCGACGCGGCGGCCTTACCCGCAGCTCGTCGTGTTGCAGCATGTCAGCGAGCTCGTCGGCCGCCTCCTGAACGCGCTCCCTGTCCAGCGAGTCCACCACGTAGATGAGGCCCTTGGCGTTACTGAAGTAGTGATGCCACAGCGGCCGCAGGATCTTCTGACCGCCGACGTCCCAGACAGTAAAGCTGATGTTGCGGTATTCGATGGTCTCCACGTTGAAGCCGATGGTGGGGATGGTGGTGACCACCTCACCCAGCTTCAGCCGGTGCAGGATGGTGGTCTTGCCGGCAGCGTCCAGACCCAGCAGCAGGATCCGCACCGGCTGACGGGTGCGCACCAGACCGTCCAGCGACTCGAGGACACGCGACAGCAGCAGACCCATCGCTGATCACCCGGGGACACTTCTTCAGCAGCACACACTCCGGCAGGCTGAGCGCAAACGAAAACTCGGCGTTTCAGTCTAGCTGACTGGGAGGCAGCACCGCTTAAGTCGTTCAATCCTCTGCTTCCCACCTGTCGTCTGCCGAGTCTCAAGAGCGCGTCTGTGTCTGCCCTACCTCCCATGGCTGTTTTATTAGTCGGCTCGCACTCGCGTATCTAGGCGGCCGGACTAACGTATCATCACGTATCGGCCAGCCAGCGTGGCGCCGGCCAGCGTGGCTCGTGGTGCAATGGGCCGTCAGCCGGGGCGCCCGCCGCAGCCGACGACACCGATTGGCCGCCGCCCCGATCGGCCGGCTCGGTGATTGGTCGGCGCGCGTGACTCGGCCCGCTGTGACGTTCCGTGTCGTCATGTGGCACGTCAGTGACCTTCGCGGAAGGAGTTCCCTCCCCTGTTGTGACGCTGACGCCAGGTGGGGATCGATGGGGCGGCGCGTGTCTGTGCCGGCCACACACGATGCGTGTGACGGCTGTTTGGCGTTGAGAAACTTCACTGGCCTGTAGGCAGTAACTGTGTATTTGCGAGTTCAGAGTATGCAAGCAAATACTGCACATACCTATACTAGAGGTGGCAAAATGTGAACCCGAGGACCCGGTCCAAAGAACCAGTCTGGACCCATACGGGTCCATACCTATAAGGGTCCTCCATACCCATACGGGTCCAGACCAGTTAGTGGAAAATTTCTGACGGGTCCAACTGGGTCCTACCTTATACGGCCTTGGGTCCTACCATAAACCGTATATCTTGCACACTTCACCTGATTGCAAAATGCGAAGTGAATGGAAAGAAAAAAATTGTTCATGTAGGTATGTTTCTTTGCATACTGTAGCTCATAAGTATTCCCAGTGGGAAAAGGCTGCTTTACATGATGTAAGCAATGATCGCTGCGTCATGCTTTTTAAATTGTTGCCCCTTTGGCCATTAACGCAAAATGTTCCAAGGTTCCAAACGCAAAATGGTTTTCACGCATTTCAGTCCATCGTAATTTGACGGTCTAAAGAACCATTTCGATTTTCTTTGACTCAGATAAACCTTTGTCAACACTGGTATCACTGTGAATGTTACCAAATGCCGTGAATAGAATAGTACGGCATTTTATCAGATTGGCCCCAGGTGCTTTTTCCACCAGACCCGTACCTAAATGACCTAAGTAATCACGTGCCCTTTAGAAGTAAAATATACAATGGGAGGAACTGCAGGCCATGGCTAGTCATTTGGTGCGATTTTTATCGCTCTAGCTCTACTGGATGGGCCACAATCTTTTGCGCAAATTTGTGAATGGTGACCTTTGTTGACCTCTGTACATACTCGGTAGGTAGGTTATCTGTAAGAATCTTGGGTAGGTCAACAAAAGGCTAAAAGTGTCGCCGAATGGTTTGGGATACGTATTCCCAACCACAAGGGCGATGTTGTGTGCGAGTTTCAAGTTGATCCAAGGTGTTCCGTAAAATAAGCTGAATCTGGGATGAGGCCCATTGTGTGTCGCTCGTTTAACGTTTCACGCTGACCAGGGCAAACAAGGTCACTTTCACACAGTTTGCAGGAAGGGCTATGGCCTGTGGGCTATCGAATGGGCTATCGAATGTAGGCTATCTCGAATTGCAATTGTCCCCATCTGTTTCTTTAACTCTCGCCCGGTGAGGGGGGGGGGGTAATATGGGTAATATGGCCCCCTGTGGTTTTGTTTTTCCTAAATAGCAAGAAAACGGCGGCGCACAGCGCCACCAAAGGTAGCATTTTTCATGTAAAATGGACCATAAAACATGCATCACACATTTTCACATTGTGACCCTCAGTGACCTGACCTCTGTGACCTGACCTGGTATCAGTGACCTCAAATAGCAAAATATGTGTTTGACGAACAATGTCAGTTCCCCATCGATGATGTTCAATGCCATGCATTTTACCCGATTTTACAACACATTTCTTGAAATGCCTGTAAACGGTGAAAATTCGGCACTTGACCTGACCTGTGACGTCATCGGTTTGACCGATGTCAATGAAATTGGGTCACAAGGTAGGTAGTCCCCGTTGGGGCTATTCAACACCTTTGCTGCTTGTCGCTATTTTGCGTGGTTCTCGAGATTTTTTTGGGGGGGGGGGCAAAATGTCCCCCCCCCCCCGGGGGCGCGTTGCTCGGTAGACCCCAACGAGGCGCAGGTTAAGATCTGGGCCTCGTTTCATAAAGCGAGTCCGCTACTTTATACTTACGCCGGTTTTTGGACTTGTATTGCAAGCGCATGTGAAGCGATGATGACAGTTTGAATCGTTGAATTTATTTATCTTGCAAGCAAGTCGCAAGAACAGAAGGGAGAAGGGGAAATTAATTTATCGCTTCACATGCGCTTGCAATACAAGCCCAAAAACCGGCGTAAGTTACGGACTCGCTTCATGAAACGAGGCCCTGGCCGTAATTGCCGTAGTTTTCCTGACCCGTAAATACCTATAACCTAAGATCACCACGTGACCTTACGAAGTGAAATTGGTAACTTAGGAAAGTGCCTTCAGGATATGACGAGTCGTTTTATGCCATTTTGAGCGCTGTAGGCAGCTATGCACTGGGTGGGTCACAATCTGCCGTGCAAATTTGGAAGCCGTGCCCGTGACCTTTGTCAGGGGTGGGCAATTGTGCCGAGTTGGGGTAGCACGAGCCTTTCCAATTCCACGCCGGCGCATGGAGTCGCACCAGACGGCGGAGGTCAAGGTCACCGCCAGGGCGGCGGCGGATTGGCTGCGCCCGTGCAACCCCAACTCGGCATATTTCTCCACCCCTGACCTTTGTTGACCTCTGTGGGTCAAACGGCTAAATTGAACTCAATGTCAAATGATGTGATGTCAAACTGATGTCGCCGAACGGTTTGTCTTGAGGCGTCCCAAATCTCTGGGCTGATTCCGGGGTGGCATGGATTTGGGATTATTGACGAACATCAACATGCCTGATGCGGGCCGACGCTAACCAGCGACGTTTCCGCTTCATGTTCTCTTGTAAAAAAAAGTTGAAATCCAAGTAGCGAAGTGCAGCGGCGTATTTAGAAAATCGCGAAGGGGGGGGCCAAGGGTTTGGAGGGCGCCACCTCACCCAAGGAGGGCGCCATACGGTCGCGAGATAAAAAATCACTCAACGGGGGGGGGGGGGGGGTTGGGAGGCGTTTTTTACCATGCCACCAGTTTTTTTTTTTTTGCGTAACCTCGTATAGGTCGTGCTGCATTAATTTTGCATCGTGTGTATTCTTTATACTCCAGGTCACAAAAGGTCAAGTGGTCTTGAAATGCTGCGCCGAAGGCGCGCGAAATTTTTGAAAACAACCTTTTCCTCCGCTTTTTAGGCACGCCTTTTATACGATCACTGTTCAAAGCTCCTCTCGCTCTTTTACCAAATTTGAAGGTATAAAAAATACCTAAGGTTTGGTCGGGCCGCTAGATGCGTAAACATCATCCAAATTACCTCAGACCAGCCTTCATAGCCTTCTCACAGGTGCATACAGTGTACCCACATAACCAGTTTCAATCACCGAAACTTCAGATGCCTGCTGTTGCGGCCGAACCTGTTGACAATACTTAATCGTAATACATATAGATGCCATGATGCACGTAAAGTAGGATCAATCCGACCAAAGACGTGTTTTATGCATCGTAGAGCGTAGATAGTTTTGGTAGGTATAGGTACTTCATTCATTGTGCTGAATGCACGTTCATTTGTGGCAGTTTTCACAGGCAAGACATCAACTATGTGCAATAGAACGACTAAGTTGAAGAACATGCCAAAGGAGTAAATAAATGATAGGAGGGCAGCGATCAACGGATGTTGCCAATAGGTAGAAGGGCTGCGATCCACAGGAGGGCGCTAATAGGTAGAAGAGCCCCGATCAACATCCCGAGTTTCGACAGTAGGGCACCGATAGGTAGGAAGTTGGCGAGCAGCAGGAGGGCGCCAATGGATAGAAGGGCAGCGATCAACAGGAGGGCACCAATAGGTAGGAGGGCCCCGATCAACAATCAACAGGAGGGCGCCACCAGGTAAGAGGGTGGCGAGGAACAGGAGAGCACCAATAGGAGGGTGGCGATCAACAAGAGGTCGCCAATAGGTGGGAGGGCGGTCATCAACTGCAAGTCGCCAATGAGCGGAAGGGTGACGATTAAAATGGGGTTGGCAATGGTGAGGAGGGCGCCTTTGCTCAAGAGGATGACACGAACAGGACGGCGTCTGTGCGGAGGGCGCTGGTCAACAGGAAGGTGCCAGTAGATAGGAGGGCGGTGATCAACAGGAGGGTGCCAGTGGTTAGGAGGGCGGCGATCAACACGAGGGCGCCAATAGGAGAAGGGCCCCGATTAGCATTCAACAGGAAGGACTAGGGAACCAATAGGTAGGAGGGCGGCACTGAACAAGAGGGTGCCAAAAGGGAGAAAGGCGGCCTTCAAAATTTCACATGAGGGCGCAATAGGTAGAAGAGCGCCAATAATTATGAGGACGCCGATCAGCAGAAGGGCGGCAATGTGTAGCAGGGTGGCGACCTACAGGAGGGCGCCTTCGGGTGAGAGGGCGCTTATTTACAGGACAGCGGCTTACATAGGCGACCACCGTTACGCTTAGAGAGCTACAGCCTACAAATGTGGTTGGAGGGCGCCCGAGGGAGCCCTCCAACCGTATTTGGAGGGCGTATTTGGAATGGGCGTCCTCCGAGGGCGCCCTCCATCCGTATTTTCCCTGTAAACACATTCGCGATTGGAGGGCGCCCTCCAGTCGCGATTGTTTTTCGATTCGATTATATCACAATTGCATTTGCGATTGGAGGGCGCCTTCGGCGCCCTCCAATCGCAAAGGGCGCCTTCGGCGCCCAAGGGGGGGGCCATGGCCCAGTGGCCCCCCCCCTGCCTACGCCCCTGGCGAAGTGTCAGGACTCAGGAACTTACCTGGGATGGGCTTTCCGATGGCCGAAACGATCCCTCGACAGGCTGCCCGATCGCACAATACTTCAATTCGTGCGAACACCGGTACGCCATTGTGATTGCTGAGATCCGAAACCACGTTGCCGTCCGAAAAAAAATGGAACACTTCCGATCCTTGTCACAGACAGTCAACATGATTCCACAAAACTAAAAGCACTGTTACGCTGTAGACCGTTCGAGCAAATCACACGACTTACTTCACTGTCATGTCCGTCACTTTCACAATTTCACGTCAACCACGTGCTCACTCCAGGAATCCAGCGACACC